AAAATTATTGAAACCGGCTGGATGTGTGCCCCGATGAGTGATATGCCCTGTAGCGACACCTCCTTGATCTTGAATGAGTTCCCAATTCATCGACCGCGGGATAGAAGCACACTGATAATAAGAAAGCGGCCACATCCGCTCCAGATTTGGAAGGAAAAGGCGACGATTATTGACAGTCCTCAGCCATTTATAGTTCCCTCCTGATACTCGCTTGGGGTCCATTTTTACAGAATCCCCGAATAGGAAGGATGGCTTCTTTAAAATCTCGCGCTCCGCAGTTTCAAATTTGACGTCTGTAATCAAGGATCTAAGAGTCTCGGGGAAGGCTTGGGTGATGAGCTTCGACCGTTCTTTGTGGGTGTTCTGAAACACTGGATATTCAAAGGCGAAGCTGAAGATTGTATTCTTCTCCGCACCTCCCGCATGACCGAAGTAGTGGTTGAAAGAAAGAGGCTCTTTGGAGTAGCATACTGCAAATAGAAAAAATTAGTCATAAGAAGTCTAACTCAAGAATACAAGGTTCAAACCTGCGTTCGGGGTCTTGAACGCAAAATTTTTGAACGCAAGGTTTAGACCTGCGTTCGGATTCTCGAACGCGGGGTCTTAACCTGCATCTAATTTTGAACGCAAGGTTTAGACCTGCGTTCAGATTCTCGAACGCGGGGTCTTAACCTGCATCTAATGTTGAACGCAAGATTTAGACCTACATCCAAGATTTTAAACGCAGGATCTAAACCTGCGTTGAAATTTTATGAACGATGGAGCTCCCCATTCGTTTTCTTGAACACTGAGAATTATCTCGCGGGTTTAAGAGTGGAATACAGATCATCAATCAAGGGTTGGGGAGATCTGTTGAACTCACCCCCAATAGTTCAACCTTACCATTAGTCGAAGAGACCAGCGATGAAGGCGCGGGGATTTGATCATCCCCGGAGGTTCTAGCCGAAGAAGCAACCTGACCTTCGGCAAACTTCAGTTTAGAAGTAGTTTTCTTCTTGAGGCCCATTCCAACCGTGGCAAGGAAGATGAAGATGGGCGAAGTATTTAGGAACGGATCTTTTCCTCCGTTGAAGCGCTGGAGAAGATGAACAGGAGCCCTTTTAAGAAATCGAGTAAAAAAAGGGAAAAGTCAAATGACCTTTTGATTTGACCTCAGTGGCCCATTTATAAACAGCTGTAGCTGTCAAATCAGAGCGGGATTTTAGGCAAATCTCACCCGAAACGTGATTCTCGTGTTTTCAAAAAAGGGGGTTTTGATTTCCGAACGCACCCTCACGTTTAAACAGCAGGACGCATAATTTAGACATGCGTTCTGGTGACCAACCTCAGCCTATCACATAATTAACCCTTTTAAAGGGGTTAATATTCCAAGCAATAACCCCAGACAAGATGACCAAGAGAGAAGATAAAGTGAATCCCTCTGAAGCCAGTCTCCTGACTAAGCTGGGGATGAAGTCCTTCTGATACAGGCTTGTGGTTTTCTCCATCTATGACGACAGATCTGTCTTAAGCTCAGAGATGCCCAACTTCCCTGAAGACGACGAACTTAGCCAAATGAACTAAAGCACAAAAGTCATTACAGATGAACCAGAAAAGAATGAGGAAGTCAACAAAGATGCTCCACTCCATCTGCGATAAGATACATTTGATCAACAAAATTTTTGGGTTCCAAAGTGTTTCGAAAATTCGTCCCAATCAACCGTGAACTTTCGAAAACTTTGGAGGGGGTTCTGTAGGCTGTCTAAAAAAGATAGCTGATTCCCCATCAAACACCGATGAGGGGAGTTACAATCGGACGACTTCCAGAAGACTACAATTTGAAGACTTTCACATGCCAAAGAGCTAAAGCAAAGATTACAAAACGACGATCTTTAGCAACACTCTGATAGAAAGAGATTACAAATCGACGACCTCTTCAAACCAAGACGTGGAAGCCCTCTCTGCGTACCATCATCAAGACACAACACCAATTCAATCACCTACAGCGGCAAACACAAATGCAGCTTCTTATGTGAGATGATTGTTCTTGATGGCTGCGACAACAACATGACTAATATTATATTAGCAACTATCAGAGGTGTTGATGAGCAGTGTAATGATATTCGACACACTGAAGAGCTTAAACCATGCAAAGAAATCTTAGTGGAGATCGTGACCTGCAGTTGATAGAGCGTTATTGAGATGCCTCAATTGTTACAAATGGCCTGAATAAGACCTTCTCTACTGGTCATTGGTGTCATCCATATATAAAGACAGAGAAGCTCAAACGTAGCTCCAATCGCTGCCAATCACAGCTCAAACGCAGCTCATCATCGCTGCCCAACGCAGCTCATAATCGCTGCCGAACGCAGCTCATCATCGCTGCCCAACGCAGCTCATCATCGCTGCCCAACACAGCTCATCATCGCTGCCCAACGCAGCTCACCAATCACAGCTCAAACGCAGCTCATCATCGCTGCCCAACGCAGCTCATCATCGCTGCCCAACGCAGCTCATCATCGCTGCCCAACGCAGCTCCAACCGACGTCGAACGCAGCTCTATACTGTTGTCAAACGCACCTTCAAACATCGAAGAACGCAGCTCAATATCGCTGCAGAACGCACCTCCAGATGCTGCGTTCAAATACAGAATTTAGGCCAGAACGCATGTCAAAATTCTGACCTGTTCAAACACGATCCAGGCAGTTTCGAAAACTGCTCTTCACCCACGATTTGAGGAGTGGCTTACGTGGGTTGTTACACCCGATTAATGGGGTAACTAAACCCCCATTTAGGCGCGAATTGTGGGGGCAGTTACACCCCTAACCCCCCTATAAATATTAACAAACTCAACAGAGTTGAGGGATCTCTTTTTGGATTGCTTAGATCGGATTTTGGATAATCAGATCGAGGGACGAGATATCATTGGAGATCGGATTTTCTGGAGAGGATCTTAGAGAGAGAGAGGGAGAATTAACTCTTTATACAGTCTGGGGAATCAACATCCATTGAGAGATCCAGACGTTAGATACTTGGCTTATTAACCGAATCATTTTCGGTTCAAACAACTCTTTTTATCAGAGTTTGTTACTCGTTCTGAATCACAAAACTCGTCAAGAGTTATCAACCAGACAAGATCGTTGTTCCAGTGAGTATAGATATTCGGATCGTCAACGAGAAGCAAACTCGACGCGAGCATTCGAGGGAGGCATCTCATCGCCACCGTGAAGAACCCAGAATTAAACAAAGGAGAGAATCCAGATCATTCTCTTCTCTTTTGTAACCAGGAATCCAAATTGTAATCGAGAGTTGAGAGAGTTGTAATCATTCTTTTTCTAAGCAGTTAGAGAGAATAAAATCAAACGCAATTCTTTCCTTATATTCTTTTTATTACAAAATTTCCCACAAACAAAAGATGGCGACTCCGCTGGGGACTAGCTTCTCTGA